GTAGATATGGCAGTAATTCTAAAGGTCTATTTAGTCTAGATGCAAATGCACATGTTACAAATGAGTGTGTTGATCCAGAGTCAATTAACACAAAGGCATCCTGATTACATATAGAAATGGTACCTGAGACAACTGCGTTGGCATTCCAGGTATCACCCGGAACAAGCGCAAAGACTCTCCCTTGTCTCATGGTATCTCCGGCAGGAGTAGATCTCGTAGCATTTCCTGGTTTTAGGACTGATGATGTTGAATTAGCAGCAAATTTTTCACTATTCTGTTTGCAATCTCTGGCTATATGCCCCTGTTTACCACAATTAAAACAAGCTCCTGACACACGGTAACAAACCCCACGATGCCTGTTACTACAAATAGTACACAATGGAGTTGTATCTTGGGAAGAATTAGAAGTATTCGAGGAGCCCGTATTTTGCTTCTTTGAAAACTTCTTCTTTGAAAAGAAGCCCTGCCTTTTACTACCCTTCCAGTCAGTCGTCGGTTTAGTTTGTCTAGCTATATTAGCTTTTGACATTATGGCCCTGTCTAGTACCCCAATGTAGGTTTCCAGCTTCAAGACATTCACCCTCTCTAAAATGTCGCATCGAAGCCCGCTTTAAAAATGTCTTGCCTTCTTATAATCTGTATCAATCACGGGTGGCGCAAACCTGGCCAATTCAGTGAATTTGGCCTCATACTCGGCTACAGTCATACTGTCTTGCTTCAGTTCCATGAATTCTGCCACCTTCCTATCCCGGACACACTGCGGGAAGTACTTGTCATAGAAAATTTTCAGAAATTTTGCCCAATCAGCATCTTTGTAATTCTCACGCATTAACATCCACCATCTTCTTGCTTCGTTTTCTAGCATAAAGGTGGCTAGAAGCACTTTCTGTGTCTCCGAACATGGGAACACTTCAAACAGTTTTTCGATGCCGAGGACCCAAGCTTCAGCTTTCAAAGGATCTAATCCACCATGGAACTGTGGTGGTTTCATTTTCTTGAACTCTTTGGTGAGAGCTATGGTCCGGTCATCATTCTGATTATCTGGCACAGGAGGTGTCGGAGGTGGAGGTGGGGGATGTGGCTGCTGCCACTGTTGTTTCCATTCCTGTTGTTGCCTCAATGTCTCTGCCATTTCCTGAATCAGTCTTTCCATTCTATCCAGTCTAGCAGTAAAAGATTCCTCTATCTCATCACCTCTTGTTCTCACCATCTGATTAAACTTGCATTATACTTTATACAAAAGATACATAGGTATGTATATACTAAAGAGCATACATAATCAAATGATTTGAAATGCAAGTAGTTCACAAACTTATAACACATAGTTGTTCACATTTAACAGTTAAGCGTATTCTTAATGCTTTCATATTCATACTTATCACATGAATGCATCCTAGATCTTTTCTAGACGCTTATAGCTCTTTTGGATAAGTGTGTAAGTGATTAACTCGTACTCTGATACCACTCCGTCACGACCCGAACCCGCCCCTATGGGTTAAGGCCATAACTGGCCAATAATCAAGAGATTACCTACGGCCTCAAACTAATTAAAACAAAACTAATCAGAGTAAAGGGGCCAAACGGAAGCAAATTTAAAACTTTGTCCATATAGCTGTGCTTATATGCATCCAATAACATTCCAAACATTTATATGTTAATAACTCACATCAAACTATGAACTAACACAGAACACCGTACAAACAGGATCATACAAGTTTCAGTCAGTCGAACCCAAGACTTATATACAAAAATAGTCTAACGCTTTCGCCATCATAACAAAACTATCAACAAAGGACGAAGGTGAAGACAGTCTCGTGCGTGAGACGTTTGGGCTGACTCCTCAAAACTTTGACTGTCTCTCATAATTTCACCGAGGCTGGTTCTGGACGTCCCTTGGCTCACCTACATGTACATGAATGAGCGTGAGCGAAAGCCCAGTGAATAATATCAAATAAGGAAGATACATAAGCAATCTTTGAAACAGTTACAGCAAACGACCTTTGGCCCAATCACTCTTATCAATCGGCCTTCGGCCCAATCATTCGTGTCAATCGGCCTTCGGCCCAATCATTCTTGTCAATTGGCCTTTGGCCCAATCATTCGTGTCAATCGGCCTTTGGCCCAGTCATTCGTGTCAATCGGCCTTTGGCCCAATCATTCTCATCAATCGTTGTCCACCATTCAAATTAATGAACTTACAAAACTTACATAGAAGTAAACAGTTGGACAACAACATAATTCAAATATCTTGTTAAGATATTACTCACAGTGATCGGCTTGTGGATTTGCCCTGGAGCTTGACCCTACACATCATATAGCACATATGGGTCACAAACGATTCAATCCGTTCTTTAATTCACATATTCCTCTTTAGGCTTTATTCGTACCTCTTTAACTCAATTACAATGCTTAATGCATGCCTAAGAGTGCTTGCAAGTGAAAGAGAACGGAAAACGAAACACAGAATACACTTTAAAAATTTCAGAAAACAGGGTCCCCGCTCGAGCGTGGGATTTCCCGCTCGAGCGGACCCATTAGGTCTGCAAAAGTGCTGGTTGTATCATTTTTCCGCTCAAGCGTAAACTCGGACGCTGGAGCGGAAGTTCATCCTACATAGCTCCCCGCTCGAGCGTGAACTTCTCCGCTCAAGCGGACACCATGCCTGCAAGAAAATACTAGGAGCTCGAAATCCCCGCTCGAGCGGCAGTTCCCCCGCTCGAGCGGACATCAAAAATTTTGGGTTTTCCAGGATGGTTCTTGAACTCGAATTCAGCACTTTAACCAACATTTCTTGCATGCCATGGCTCAAATTTCACTTATATTTATGCTAACATGATACCAACATCAAATTACAACATTTTAAAGGTCAATTCCATAAATCAAACACATGCATGGCTCATTTTCCACCAAATTCATTATCAACATTACAATTTCATGTCTTCAACACTTACACCTTTGTGAATGGCACATGCATGTGACATATAACCCTCATTCTCAACTTATGTGATAAAGAGATGGTCAAGAGCATGATCTTCAACTAAAACTTACATGAATCAAATATTTGGTGCTCAAACATGCAAATTCAAAGTAATTACATACATGCATGCCTCTATTGCCTTTAAATTCACCAAGACAAACTCAATACATGCTCTTTCTCATCATTCAACTTTGAATCTACAAAACACAAATTGAAATTCATGAGTCAAGGGTTGATCACTCACCTAAGAGCTTCAAACACCCAAGCTCTAGTCAATTCTTGAGTTAAATCTTCAAATTCCCAAACCTTGAGCCAAGATTACACAATTCTCTCCCTTTCTCTCTCTATAGCCGACCCTCTCTCTATTCTAAGGCACAAATCTGATTTTTGAGCTCAAATGAGGGAATTGAGTGTAGTGCCCTTCTTTACATAAATTCCACTAATGCAAATTTTTAATATTAAATAACTTGAGCATTATGACATCAATTAAATCTAATAAATTTGATCCGAATCAATTTTCAATTAAATTTCACCGTAGGCTTTAAAAATTACGCTAATCACTAAGGCGTTATCAATTTCGGGTTCTGTGGCCAATAACGCTTTCAATTTATTTTCCAAAGCAGATAATCAAACAGATATTCCTACGGTGAACAGATAGAAATTCAAAATCACATATTTTCACATAATGGCACCCAAAATCACATTAAACACATAATCATGTTTATATTAAGGACTAATTAACATATTGCGGAACAGGGATATCACACAAAGTGAAGTAAAATGCCCTAAATGAAGTTCCATAAATTATGGTATTGCATTCCCTTTTGTTTTCTTTTTTTCCCCTTACATATCTGTTGGGCTTGAAATAAATTTGGGCAACCTTTAGTTATGATGCAAAATGATGGTTAATCGAGGGCTAAAACATTTAAAATTCAGAATATGCTGATTTAAAAATGTTATAAGTTGAGAGTGCCAAACTTTGTGAAGTGCCCCCTCCCTCCATCTGAAGTGCCCATTTATTTGATGCATTTAATTAGGATCATACTATAGGTAAGTTATAGTCTAAATTAATGTTAGTTACGAATTATTGTGGTGTTTAGTTATGAGCCATTAGGGTGGTGTGATTAGAAAATTATTAAATCAAAATTAGTTTCATCCTATTATGATTTTGATTAAGTCTCAAAGTGGTATTGTTACAACTATTGTAATGACTTTGGCTTCAATTATGACTTTAATTGGTGTTAGTTACAACCCAATGCGACTATGATCCGTATGAAAAGTATTTTTACATTATTATTTTTTGATTTTTATGATCTTCATTTTATATTTTTTTATTGTATATTTTGTTTATAATTTTAATGATAATTTTTTTAATTGTAATGCTTATTAAAATGAATATTTTAATACAATCTACATGCAAAACATTAATTTTTATGTTTGATTATATAGATTTTGGTCCCCTCTTAACCAGATTTGTGGATCTGCCACTGCCTTCTGCCAACCCGGATTCACATTGCGCATGACATTCAAACTGCTAATACAGCTGTGGCTGGTTGAGGTGAGTTAATAAATCCGTTTCAACTCCAATATTAAAATAGCACCTATGGGTACATAAGAAATGTATTGAATTCATTATGGACTTTCTGTTCAATATTGAAAGGGAGTTTGCAATGGTTTTGAGTGTAAAATGGTAGCAAACTTGGTAGTGTAGGAAGGAACTTCATTACTCCTCAATGATGAACTTCTAGAATGGCAGCAAACTTGGTGGTTTCTTGGCAATAGTTTCCCTATAACAGTTGTATTGTATTGACAATAATTATGATTGGATCAAAGTGAGTTTTATTCTTCTTTTTGTTGTTTTGGTATTGTAAATGGCCACATGGGTTTTGACAATCTTGTTTGTTTGTTGATGTATTTTGTGTTACGCTATATTTAGTGCTCTTTACCAATTGATTGTGTGGTTGTGTTTTGATGTTGGTTTCTGTTTGAAAATTGGCTGAGATTACGTTAGGCTTGAGGCAAGAATGGCAACACTATAGATCATGATGTTTTTTACACCAATCAAATATTCAATTGATTATACATACAAGTCACAAGTCTTGGTCCAAATAGACTTTAGCAATTGAATTGATTATGCATACAAGTCACAATTCAAATTTGCAAGCCAATTTGTTAACTTGGGACCTTGTTATTAGTGTCATCAATTTGGAAGCCCATGGCCTGGTGTCAAGGTGTGCCCATCAAAGGGTCAACACCTTGATGCCTCACTCATTTGTGCTCTTTGGAGAGCCCAAAACATTTGGTGCAAGTGCAAGCCAAGGCCCAAGGCATGGTGCAAGACAGCCCAAGGCAAGCCATGAAGTAGCTGGCCACAGACTTGCCTACCCAGCAGCAACTTTAGTCCAATTTTTGGAGGGTCAAATGTAGTCTTTTTGCCTTATAAATTTTTATGTAAATACTTTAGTATTAAAGGTGTTTTGGGTTCAAGTATTGTAATTTTTCTCTTTTTGTTGAATTTTAAAAAATTCATTATGACTCCTCAAATATAATGGATGTTTCCTCTTGCCAACTAGGAAATGGCTTAATAAGCTATATGAAGGAGGGGGCACCCAAGTGTTGAGCCAAACTATTTGTGCCTTTAAAGTACCCGAACCTAGCCAATGGTAAGGCAATTTTTGTAGCACTTTTGGTGCATTGTTCAACTATTGTAATGCCTTATTTTGATCAATGAAAAGTTCATTTTGCCTTTAAATTGTGCAAAGCTTTTCCATTGTTCCTTGCTTTAATTTTAGCTTGTTGCTTGCTATTTTGTGGCTTCTCTCCAATCTTGTGGTTCATCAACGTAACTAATATTGTGTTTGCTTGTCTTTGCAAACCTTTTGAGCTTTATTAGAGGGCTAGTGAAGAGAGTTAACTAGCGTCACACACACTTGCATATCTTTGACAAGGTTTCCGCATTGTCAGTGTGTGACACCTGACCAAACACTTGGATTTTGGCCTTTATTTGGATTATGGCCAATTGATTTCTACCAAGGCATGCATTTTCCAATAAATCTGCAAATTGATTGGGACCTTATTAGCCAATCGATTATATAATTGATTCGTTACGAGATAGTGGAAACACCAATCAATTGGCCAATCTATTTGGGAGCCCATGGCCATGACAAACATAAAAAAAAATGCCAAACTGTTGCTTTCCTGTGCAGATTTTTCTCGCCCCTGCACGGATAATAAGAGTGTTTGGGATAATCTAAATAAGCATATTTTTTGATTTTTTACGAAAAGATGTGTAAAAAAAATAGAGGTGATGTGATTAAAAAAAAGATAAAAAGATTAAAAAAAAAAAGTATGCTTTTATAGGTGATGCCAAATAGTTATATTTATACATAAATAATATATATATATAATAGTTATATTTATACATAAATAATATATATATCTTTTATTTTTTTTTAATATAATAAGATTAAACCACTAAAACTATACACTTACCATTCAATCATTCATTTATTCTCATGTTACATATTTTAATTTCGGAAAATTACATTGATAGTCCCTATATGTTACTCATTGTGTCATTTTGGTCCCTACACTTTTAATTAGTTCAATTTTTTTTTTTTTTTTTTTTTTTTTAGCCAAAAAAAGAGCTTTATTGATGAAACAGAAGGAATACATCAATAAAGAAGGGGAAAGGGGAGCCAGAAGTTGGAAAGGAACCAACTACAACAACCCCCCCAGAGTAGAAGTAACATAGGCCCTGTTTGGTAAAGCTTATTTCTAACTTATTTTAGCTTTTAGCTTAATTTAAGCTACTTTGATGTGTTTGGTTCAGCTTAACAATACAGCTTATATAATCATCACTGCTGGAGCATTCATAGATGGGTCTCACAAAACTAAGATGTCTTACCAGCCAAACTAAACAACCATGGCAAGCCAACCACGGCACACTGCATAACCACTACTATGAAACTCAATTATAGCACCCAAGCTATTAGTTCAATTTTGACCCTTAATTTTTAATTTTGTATTGATTTGGTCCAATTGATAATGAGAGGGTAATTTTTGGGAAAGAATTGGGCCGAGCTGTGAGTTGGGCCCTGCGGCCCAAAGTGTGAAGGAATCGGTAAGAAGCCGTAATGTTATTTCGGCCCAATCATCACTGCTGGAGCATTCATAGATGGGTCTCACAAAACTAAGATGTCTTACCAGCCAAACTAAACAACCATGGCAAGCCAACCACAACACACTGCATAACCACTACTATGAAACTCAATTATAGCACACTGCATAAATCAATTATGGCACCCAAGCTATTAGTTCAATTTTGACCCTTAATTTTTAATTTTGTATTGATTTGGTCCAATTGATAATATCGTTAATGTTTTTTAAGGAAAATTATTACTAAATTGGTTGAGATTAACTCATTGGGTTGAGTAAAATATGACAAACGACCCTTTTTGAGTATTTTTTTATAAACAATTGCAACGAATTCTAATCAATTGGCCCAAGTTGAGACAAAAGTCATAAATTCAGGATTAAAATCAAGCTAATTGAAATTACAACTAAAATGAAACAATGACTAAAGTACAGAGAGTACTATCATAATTTACCCTTTTAATTTTTACTAATTATAAAATATTATTCATAATATACTATCTCTGATTATTATTAGTATTTTCATTGAATTACAAAATTTGTTTTGTGAACAATATGATATTTGATGGATTATTTAAAATTTATTTTGTGAACCAAATTTCAAGGGTTTTTATGTGTAGATGAATAATGTAAGTTCGAATGGCTTCTTTGTGGATGATGTAATATTTGGATTATGTAAATTTGATTTTGGTAATTTACGTTTGTGTTGGTTGACATATGGTGGTTGTAAATTTTTGGGATGTCATCCAATTTATATGATATTTGGATATTGAGGATAGTTGTCAAAGTTAATTTTTTCATGTCAATCTTGGTTGTTGATCTTTGTTTTTGAGAACTACCTTGATTCTTATTTGGGTAAACTACCAATAAATTCTAGTAGTTTGACTTAATTTCCATCAAGTCTTATTAAAAATAAGGCTCAGTAAAATCGTCGTTAAAAATAATTTTTTTTGATATTTTTTTGCATATGTCCCAAAAAATTAACAAATAATGACTTTTTTTGTCACGATTTTTATAAATTGTCGCTAAAACTTATAATTAGTGACTTTGTGATGAATTTTTTAAACTGTCGCTGAAAGTTAAAAATTAGTAACTTTTTTGTGACGATTTTTTTAAACTGTTGCTAAAATTAGAATTAGTAACATTTTTTGTGATAATTTTCAAACTGTCGCTGAAAATTAATAGTTAGTGACTTTTTTAATAGTGTTTAATAAAAAACGTTATTAATTATTATATGACTTATTACGCAATAAATCCACCTATTAAGATTTATACGTAAGTCCCCTTCTTATTTTTTGAGGTGGTTGGTCTATGTGCAAAAAAATTCCTTTTGGATAAGTGCATTTTGATTAATTATCTAAATTTTTGCCAGTGAATTTGTTAAGAAATGCCTAACAAATTCATCTTCATTCGATTGCATAATTGGCAATCAAAAGCCTTGCAATTTCATCCCTAATCAATTGCACAATCCACCAGAGAATGTCTAAAGTTAATTACATCTATTACATTCCCATAGAAGAGGATGGATATCATGACCTTACGTTGCTTCTTGTTGAAAGATATGCAGCATTGATGTTGGACCCAATAAATTCATCACATGACGTAATTTTTGCAGAAGTAAGGATTGATCCTTTTCCTTTGAAATGTGAGGGGGAAGTGATGATATAATCAATTAACATGATCAAGTTGGAAAAAGTACATAATTGGCATTACAATTAGCATTGCTAGAAAAATAAAGTTGCTAAGGAATAACATGGAAACAATAAAAAATTTATAATTTCAAATGAAAATAAACAAATTGGATCATTCCATTTCCAATTATCAACCCCTCAAGCTCAAACAAGAGAAGCAACAACTAACATGTACATAAAAAACAAAGCAATAATGGAAGGTTGCAAGTTGCATTTCTCTAGGAAATAAAATAGTTCCTTCATGCAACATTCATGTCCCTTGACAATCAAAAGCATTTTCTATACACGTTGATCACAAAAACTCATCAGACTTTGCCTTAGCAATCCACAATTGGGGAAACTCGAAGCTCATTGTAGGTGTGGTGTGAGCACTTCTCTATATCATCCCACTTGCTCACATTACTTTAGCAATCTGCATATTCTATCTCTTCTCTTCAGTTGACTAGTGACTGATGAGAAAGATACTCGACTTCTGCATTTTTTTTATTCTTCAACGGCTGATCTGCATTTTAGCGTTTTATAACACGAGCAACAATCAAATTTATATAATAAAAAAATGTATTACATAGGCAAAAATTGAAATCAATATTGCAGAAGGGAAGATATTCACCTACTCAATCTATGGCACTTCCACTCAACCAACAGAGAGCTCGGTAGAAATTCAATTACATGCCACTCTTAAAAATTCAAACTAGATATCAGAAGGATTAGCCTTCAAGTCACTTTACCAAGTTCCTCATATTCATTCTATTAACATCAATAAATAATAAATTACACAAAACAGGCATTATAATCAATTACACAATTGATTGGCTGCATCCTATACAAAATAACAATGCGCATTGGAATCAAATGAACATTTGATTGGTCATCATCAATCGATTGGTCAACTGATTGGGTGGGCTTGGCCACCACAATATTTGAAATTGATTATTAAAGAGAATCTCCAACCCTTCACTTCTTTTATCATATTTAAATTTGATGATTTGAGAGCTAAAAGTGAGCTCCAATCAAGGGGGTGAAAACAAAAACATTACACTTCAAAACCAAAATGAAAATATGTTTTGCTGGTTTACCAAATAAAACCAAAACGAAGCAATCAA